TTCAAGAACTGTGAAAGATAGCTAGTAGATTTGAAAATCTGGGACAGATTTTCCAAGTCCTATGACTCAGGTGTGTGGTGTCTTTAGCAACAAGGTCGTATTGATGAGTTCTGAAGGGTAACCAAGAAAAATGTAGTAGTATGTCATTTGGTAGAGGAGGTCTATGGGCCACACTGACAAACAATTTGAAAAGAGAGAACCCATTACCTGGCACTGGACTTTAGTTTTTGATAACCTATGCCCCTCCCTGTTATAGGGTAATTCCATTTATATATATGGAAACTTCCACAGTAGTAGGTTTATATATGGCATTTTCAAAGATCTTTAGTGTTAGTTATCCTTCTCCACACTCCTCCTCTACCCTGTGTTCCTAATCCCCACACCATATCCCTTCTTGTTACATTATTTTCCTTTCTCCCTTCATTCCACCTGGAGTTCCAATAGAAAGACAGAATGATATTGGTGCAGAACAGTATTCAAATTAGTAAGTACCAAAGAGCCTTTTTTGTGATGTCTGTTCTGTACTTGTTTCTCTTTAACCAGCTATCATATAGTAACTATAGTTTACAAAACTGTCAGCATATCTACTCATACAATGTATGCAAAACTATAGCCATCAGTAAACATTACTCTCAGAGTTGTTATACCAATACCAATATAGTCCAGATGAGAAAACTCAATATATATTATAATCCTCTTTCTTCATAGAGTGTAGTCACCAAAATTATGTATTATATCAGCATGGTTATGTTATAAATTAGATAAACTAATAAATACCTTGCTTGTTTTACTTGAAATCAGTTTCAGACCATTTATTTTTAAAATACATTTACTTAATTTTACTTTTAAAGTATAAGCTATATACATAATTTAAAAAACAAAACCTATATATGGTTTACTCAAAAAGCGTCAATCTCCTCTTAATTACCTGTGTTTCATTTGTAGCTAGAATTTTCCTGCCTGGCCCACAGTCAGGACAAATCTCTCTCACCTGCCAGTCCCACAGCCGCTCAGACCCAACCAAGTAAACACAGAGACTTATATTGCTTATAAACTGTATGGCCATGCCAGGCTTCTTGCTAACTGTTCTTATATCTTAAACTAATCCATTTCTATAAATCTATACCTTGCCACGTGGCTCGTGGCTTACTGGCATCTTCACATGCTGCTTGTCATGGTGAGGGCTGGCAGTGTCTCTCTGAATCAGCCTTCCACTTCCCAGAATTCTCTTCTCTGCTTGTCCCACCTATCCTACCTGCCTGGCTACTGGCCAATCAGTGTTTTATTTACTAACCAATCAGAGCAACATATTTGACATACAGAACATCCCACAGCACTTCCCCTTTTCTTTTTTTCAAAAAGGAAGGTTTTAACCTTAACCTAGTAAAATTACATATAATTTGGGAATTTGGGCGTAGCTTCTCTTACTACTTCCTGCTGGAGGGGGGCGCTGTATCTTATGGGGATACAAAGAAAATTTTAGGATTATGGAATAGTCCATGAGGCTGTATTGTCTGAGCCAGTTGCCTTCAAACCATTCTGGATGTTGGATCATCTGGGCCATGGTGTCATCGGAGACCTTTCAGGGGGTCTTGGCTGGTCAAACCTGATGTATCTTAATCTGGAACAAATCCATAGCCTCTTGCTTTCTGTGGAAACAAAAGCAGAGACTCTTTTCCAAAGCAACCTATCCTTATATCCAAATTTTGAAGTCAAGGTGTCTTTAAAATATACATATTGGTTTAACTCAACATCTTTTACGATCAAATGTTTTTTTGCAGTTAAAAATCCCAAAGACAACATAATCCAGATTCTCTGTGTAATATTCATCTTTACGTGGCTTATTTTTATATTAATTTTACTGTCTCTTTAAAGACTTTATTTTTTAAAACTATGTATTTGATTATATAACTTTATATATCACCTCTTTTGTCTCTTTCAAGCCTATGTATATTTTACACACATTGTAAACTATTACATCTGAATCTGTCTTATTGTGAATCTATTGCTTTAAACTGCAGCATTTTTTTTTGCAATACAATTCAGTTCTACATATCAGCCACGGATTCCCTTGTTATCCCCCCTCCCGCCCCCCATTCCCATCTCCTCCAGGGCAAAGCCTTCCCTGCGGACTGAGATCAACCTGGTAGACTCAGTCCAGGTAGGTCCAGTCCCCTCCTCCCAGGCCGAGCCAAGCAATCCTGCATAGGCCCCAGGTTTCAAACAGCCAACTCATGCAATGAGCACAGGACCCAGTCCCACTGCCTGGATGCCTCCCAAACAGATCAAGCCAATCAACTGTCTCATCCATTCAGAGGGCCTGATCCAGTTGGTGACCCCTCAGCCATTGGTTCATAGTTCATGTGTTTCCATTCGTTTGACTATTTGTCCCTATGCTTTATTCAACCTTGGTCTCAACAATTCTCGCTCATACAAACCCTCCTCATTCTCGCTAATTGGACTCCCAGAGATCCACCCGGGGCCTAGTCATGGATCTCTGCATCCAGATCCCTCAGTAGTTGGATGAGATTTCTAGCACGACAATTAGGGTGTTTGGCCATCCCATTACCAGAGTAGGTCAGTTTGGGCTGTCTCTCGACCATTGCCAGCAGTCTGTTGTGTGGGTATCTTTGTGGATTTCTGTGGGCTTCTCTAGCACTTTGCTTCTTCCTATTCTCATGTGGTCTTCATTTACCATGGTCTCCTATTCCTTGTTCTCCCTCTCTGTTGTTGATCCAGCTGGGATCTCCCGCTCCCCCAAGCTCTCTTTCCCTCGACCCTCACCCTTCACTACCCCCACTCATGTCCAGGGTGTTCATGTAGATCTCATTCCATATCTCTGTCATTGGGTGATCCCCGTGTCTTTCTTGGGGACCTGTTTTCCAGGTAGCCTCCCTGGTGATGTGAGTAGCAGTCCAGTCATCCTTGTTCTACATCTAATATCCTGCTATGAGTGAGTACATACCATGTTTGTCTTTCTGAGTCTGGGTTACCTCACTCAGGATGATTTTTTCTAGATCCATCCATTTGTCTGCAAACCTCATGATGTCATTGCTTTTCTCTGCTGAGTAGTATTCCATTGTGTATATGTACCACATTTTGTTTATCCATTCTTCAGTTGAAGGGCATCTAGGTTGTTTCCATGTTCTGGCTATTGCAAACAATGCTGATATGAACATAGCTGAACAAGTGCTCTTGTTGTGTGGTTGAGCATTCCTTGGGTACATGCCCAAGAGTGGTACAGCTGGATCTTGGGGGAGATGAATTCCCAATTTTCTAAGAAAGCACCATATTGATTTCCAAAGTGGTTGTACAAGCTTGCATTCCCACCAGCAGTGGAGGAGAGTTCCCCTAGCTCCTCATCCTCTCCAGCATAAGGTGTCTTCAGTGTTTTTGATCTTAGCCATTCTGACAGGCATAAGGTGGTATCTCAGAGTTGTTTTGATTTGCATTTCCCTGATGATTAGGCATGTTGAGCAATTCCTTAAATGTCTTTCAGCCATTTGAGTTTCCTCTGTTGAGAATTCTCTGTTTAGTTCTATAGCCCATTTATTAATTGGACTGTTGGGCATTTTGATGTCTAATTTCTTGAGTTCCTTATATATTCTGGATATCAGTCCTCTGTCAGATGTGGGGTTGGTGAAGATCTTTTCCCATTCTGTAGGCTGTCGCTTTGCCTTGTTGACCGTATCCTTTGCTCTACAAAAGCTTCTCAGTTTCAAGAGGTCCCATTGATTGATTGTTTCTCTCAGTGTCTGTGCTACTGGTATTCTATTTAGGAAATGGTCTCCTATGCCAATAAACTGCAGCATTTTTAAGACTGAAATGGCGCTATGGCTGCTGGCTCCAACCACCTCAGCTTCCCAACATGGCGGTGGTACATTTACCGCCAGCTCTGGGAGCTATCATGGGTCTATGCTTTTATCCAAGCAACGTGTAGCCCAGAAACCAATTTTTTTGTTTTGTACTAGCAAAGGCTAAATCCACCACGCAGCTTAAGGTGCCACTTGCAGAGGTCTCATTCCCGCCATACTGCAGGTCGAGCGCACACGCTAGGAACCCACCAGTAGCTCAAACTGGCAGGCTGCCGCTCATTTGAGAGAGACAATTAGGAAGCTGTTTTTAGCTCCGTTGTAGAATCTTTTCTCAGGTTTTAGGTGGAAACTCTTGCCAACTCATTGGGCACCATTTGTAGCTAGAGTTTTCCTGCCTGGCCCATAGTCAGGACAAATCTCTCTCACCCGCCAGTCCCACAGCCGCTCAGACCCAACCAAGTAAACACAGAGACTTATATTGCTTACAAACTGTATGGCCGTGGCAAGCTTCTTGCTAACTGTTCTTATATCTTAAACTAATCCATTTCTATAAATCTATACCTTGCTATGTGGCTCGTGGCTTACCGGCATCTTCACCTGCTTGTCATGTTGGCGGCTGGCAGTGTCTCTCTGACTCAGCCTTCCACTTCCCAGAATTCTCTGCTTGTCCCGCCTATCCTTCCTGCCTGGCTACTGGCCAATCAGTGTTTTATTTACTAACCAATCAGAGCAACATATTTTGATACAGAACATCCCACAGCACTTCATTATTACTTTTCTGCTTCAAGTGTGTATCCTGATTTTTGCTTTCCTCTGTTTCTCTTTTCAAAATAAAGTTGTATACAAGAAAATGGTTGTTTGAAATGCTTGAACAAAAAGTTGTGAAATAACTTTTTTTATATTTAAAATTTTTTAAATTCATGCCAGAACAGTTACCAAGTTCTTAATAAATGTTTTCTGTCTAAAAACTTGTATGATTTCTTCACAGGCTGAAAAAGTACACAAAGCTATTCATCTTTTTCTTCAAACTTTGTTGAAATTGAAACAAGTTGTACAAATAAACTCAAATAATCTAAGTATTTTGAAATCCAACCTTTATTTTTACTTAGACACTCTTAGGAATCTTAACTCTGAATTTTAGTAGCTGAACAGTTAACCCTTTGTTCTTCTCTTTGTTTTATTCAGTTGCTTGACAACTACAGAAGTGCTTCAAGAGGTGAAGGGGGATCTTTGGCAGTACCTATGAGAGAAATTAGTAGAAGATCTTCTGAGATACCAGTTTGGAGATCAGCAGAGCGATCTGCTTGGGGACCTGAAGGAGGACGACCTGTCAGATTTGAAAGGGGTTATGCTGTAAATCCTGCTAGAGATCTTTCTATGATGCCTGCTCAAGGACATGCAATGATTCCTGCAAGGGGCCGTTCTGTGAGTCCTGCAAGAGGATACTCTGAGAGATGTGGTAGAGAACGTGCTGTGAGTCTTACAAGAGGATACACTAAGAGACAAGCAAGGTCAAGAACCATGAGTCCTTTCAGGATGCATGCTGTGAGTTCTGCACAGGAAACTACTCTGCAACCAGCACAAAGATGTCCCGTGAGACGTGAAGAAGAATTTATTCTGGGAGCTGCAGTGGGGCTTACTGTGAAACCAGCAGAAAGATATGATGAAGAAACTTCTAAACTTACCAGACAATCTACCCAGTAAGTTTCTTTCAAGTGACTTTACAATAACATGCCCAATATATATTATATCTCTAAAGTAAGGTTGGATTTTTCACATGAATACATTTATGACTGTAAGTATAAAGGTACATTATATAGGGATTATTTTAAGAACTTAAAGGAATTCAGTAAAGGAAATATTTCAGACTGTGTTTACTTTCGCATTTCTTTCATTTGAGGATAGTGTATGAAGTGAAAAGGAACAATGTATTCGACATTTCCAGAAAAATGACAAAACATTTAAAAACAGATAAATTGATCTTCCAGAAATATAGTCATTTTATGTTTTATATCTCCACAAACATTAAGCAATAAAATCATTTCATCATCTCCTTATATTCAAAAGGCAAAAGTGGCCATACATAAAGTGGTAAGATAATAGTTGAAAACGGCTTATAGAGTTATTTAAAGTGATGTTTATCATCTCTTAAGCAACATTATAAAGCTTCAGAATTCACCAAAAGCATCAAGTGTCTCTAAGGGTTTTATTTTTTTTCCTCCATATTGTAATATCCTATATATAAGGTACTAAATTGTGTAACATAAATCAGTGTGTTTTATTACTGTAAAATCAATGTTTTATTCATAGTTTTGTTATATGAAAAATATTTGGCATCAAATACCACACCCCAAGGCAGATTTCTAAACCAGAATCTAGCTCTAAAACTCTGTTGGAAACAAGTTTTTTTCCCCTCAGGCTTTCTGCCATTTTTAGTATGTGCTTTATTGATCAGTTACCAATTTAGAGAGAAAAATACTCTTTGAAATATCAGTTCTACCTACTGAAGAACTGCAAAATATATCTGAATTAAAGCCATTTGTTATTCATTAGTATATTAGTAGGAGAGCCTTTCAGTTTTCAAGAGTAACTTTTGTTCATGTTACATTGACTTTAAAAATTATTAATTATTAATTATTTAAGGCTGCAAAGGCAGAGGGCAGATACTAGTAGATGAGGAGATAAGTGGGATCAGAATGCATGATGTGAAATCCATAAAGAATCGAAGTTTAAATATTATTAAAAGTTTTTAAAATTACCCTTAGCAAAGTGAAACTGTTTTTATTTTTTCACATCTTTAATTAAAATCTAGTTATATTAAATTTCCCTTTCTCTTTCCTTCCTCCAGCTCCTCCCAAGTCTCCTTCTTTGTAATCTTTCCATGTGTTCCATATTGATAGCCTCTTCTATATGTATATATGTATATGCATAAATATATACAAATAATGCATATATATGTATACATATACATATGTGTATGTATGTATACATATGTATGTATATGTTTAAGAGATACATACATACAGGAGGGGGAGGCTATATATGTATATGTGTATATGTGTACATGTATGTGTATATATGTGTGTGATTTATACATATGTTGTATATATGCCAAATATAGAAACAAATCTGTGCCTTGTGTGTATATGGTTTGAGGGATGATTATTTTAGTTTGGACAGACAATTAGAAAGCTCATCCCTGAGAGAGGTTACCTCTGCATCTCTCAGCAGTCATCACTTGCCTGTAGTTTCTTGTCTAATGGAGTGATTCTGAGATTTTACCCCTTCCTTGTTAATGTGAATATTTAACTGTTGGTGAAATTTCAAATGTAAAACTGATAGCAGGAAGACATGCCAAAACCAGCTTTTCAATAGAGTCAATCCAGAAATATTGACTTACCCTTCAGAACTTCATGGACATTAATTAAAACCTCACAAACTTTGACATTTTGGGCTAAATAGTAGGTACTCATTTAGGGCTGACCATTTGTTATTGGATAAGCAATTGGTATGCTCTCCTAGAGAAAAATATTTCTCCCACTCTCAGCATTCCTAAGTTGCCTATAGCCCTCATCGACTTGATCTGTTGTTGTTGTCCTTGTTTAACTCATGTTTAGGCAGAATGATGGTGAGGCTGTGTGGTTGTAGCTTCTGACATTTCTAGGAGTCACAGTCTCACAGAAAAATCACTGACCCTCTCTGGATCTTAGAATCTTTCCATTCCCTCTTCTACAATGTTCCTTGTACCTTAGGTGCAGGACTGTTTTGTAGATGTGTCCGTTCAGACTGGACTTGACAACTCTGCATTCTGATTGGTTATGGTTTTCTGTAATGGTTTCTGTTTCTTGCAAAGAGACATTTGTTTGATGAGGTGTGAGGACCACAGTTACCTGTGAGCATAAGGACAAATATTTAGAATGTAGTAAAAGATGATGTTCTTTTAGTAAAGTGGTGGTTGTAGGTTCTCTTCTAAGACACATGTCTTCACTAGCCACAGAGAGTTGACCAGCTTTCTAGTGTAATTTCACTCTTGTTGAGTTGGCCTTACATCTAAATCTCTGTCTTAAAGCAAAAGGTATATCTAATTACACTGTTATTCTTATTAACAAGTCAGCTAAAGTGAGATGTAGTCAGGTCTACCCCACATTATTAGTAACATTGCAGGACCTAGGTTGATGAAGATACCCTCTCTTTAGGATATAACATTCTCATGGCAGATGCCAGGAGCATAAGAAGCCAGGTTACACTATGTGTTCATAGCTTCTGCTCAGACTTCTACTCACTTTTCACTAACTGAAGAAAATAACATGACTAAACCTAACAGACCAGAAAAAGATAGACTTGGCCTACATGGGAGGAGGAGAGGAATGCTTGCTAAATCATAAATTCTGCCACACTACTCAACCCTACTGCAATAATATCTACATATTGGCTATAAATATGACTTGATTTTCTCATTTCTTTATGAGATTTTTCTGTGTTGTCTTAGTTGGGGTTTCTATTGATGTGAAGAGACACCATGACCATGGCAACTCTTACAAAGGAAATAACAGTTAATTGGAGATGGCTTACATTTTCAGAGATTTAATACATTATAATCATGGTGTGACATGGTAGCATGAAGGCAAACCTGGTGCTGGAGCTGAGAGTCCTACATCTTGATAGGCAGGCAACAGGAAGTGATCTAACACATGTCCTCCAATAAAACCACACCTACTCCAACAAGGCCACACCCCTAATCGTACCATTCCCTTTGGGGACCATTTTCTTTCAAAACACCATATATGTCATGCCTGAATATAAGTATCACTGCAACAAATACTCTTTAGACCCACATCATAATATACTTTTAGATGCAAATGACAATATTGTTACTTTTTCAAATATCAGGAAGTTCTTGATAAATACTGTTGTCTAATTGCAGGCTGAATATTAAATATTTTTGTGAAATAATATCAAATATCTACCACAATTAATATGGAGTTCAGTGGCCATTTCTAATTTCTTTGACATTGCTCCATTTTTAGTAAGTTCATTACTTGATAAATTTTACTCATATATAATATCAATATATTGATTCATTATAAGTCATCTTAGACACAAGTTCAGATGCATACGTTCCTAGTAATTTCACTGTAGAGTCCCATATATTATTATGTTATTTATTTGTTGTGTAAAATCAATTTTAATAAGTAATTTTATGACTAGAAAACTATAAGATATTCCAATATTATATGAACAATAAAATGTTTTAGTTCTTATATATGTATACGTGTATAAATATATGTATATACATACATGTATAAAATATGTACTAACTTATCAAGACACTGGAATTTTCTATATTTTTTTCAAATTTTGCAATTAGAAATTGACCATGAATGTATTTCCAGGATTGTTTCCAAGGGTTGGTCTTATAAATACTTCATAACATTTTTCTATTGCCATTTGAACATTTTGTAGGAAACAAAGGGTTAGTTGTTTTCAAATTTGAAATCATGAGAATATTCCATTTTAAACTTCTATTTAATATTTTACTGCTTATTTCTGGATGACTTTTAGTGTGATTTTAAAACTTGTCTTTTTCTTGCCTTTAGGTATGCTTCTGATGATGATCCAAATGAAAGTGGATCCTCAATCATAATGGTAAAAATTACACAAATATCTGTGCTGTTTGAAAGTAACATTTTTACTAACATTGAAATCATCCTTCCAAGTCATATAGATTAATTTTTATCATTTCTGTTTGATGGATATTTATATAAATGTATAAAATATAATTGCATGCATATATTGAATAATTTTGGAAGGATACACACAAAATTATTGTCAATGGGCAAGAGGAAAGAAACACAGTTTCACTGTTTACAGTTTATACTTCTATTTTGTTTGACTAGTTTGTATAATATTTAACTTTGTCCTTTTAATACATTTATAATTTAAAAATAAATATTTCCTATGAAAATGAATATTCAAAAACATATATTATAAGCTTTGGAAATGAAGTGACCCAATTATATTTTCTCTTACTTTCCTATGGAGAAAATTAATGCTAAAGACAAATCTTAGAGTCACAAAGCATGGCTAGACAAAGATCAGGATTTACTTTTTTACCTGAGCCATCTTTTAGAGTAATTACTAGCACAAAGTTGACAGCAGAATGCCTGTTACTTTCATGAAATAAAAAAATGATAGAAATGTGTTCAAACAAACAAAAATATGAAACTATTACCTCACATATAATGGACCAGTACAAATTTGTTAAATGAAAGAAAAAATATCTAAAACTGTTAGTTTTTTCATCAGCATTTGGCAGAAATACTTCATTTTAACCACAATTATTATTACATCTGATGGTAATTTCTGTTTTCTCTTACAATGACCTGTCACAGACATAATTTCATTTGCTTATTCATTCATTCATTGATTATTTCAATTTTTGTTTGGATGTGGAGGGTTTTTTTTAGTGCTGGAGATTAAACATAGTGCTTTGTGCATGCTAATAAATCCTCTACTACTGAACCCTCAGGAGTAGTACTGTCCCTCAGCCAGGACAGAATTTTTAATTTGCCTCACTTGAACTAAACAAATCTACCTATGCACTTCTTGTTCTCACTAAGTGAAAACAATGTTAATCATAAGGAAAGCAGGAATTTGAATTTTATTAGGTGAGTTGTATGGAATACAATTTCTTTTAAAAAACATATAATTTAATTTCTTCCTTACAAGTATATTTTAAATAAGAGTCTCAAGTTTTAGTAAGAATATAGGTAGTTTTTAAAAGAATGGATATGTTCTAGTTTCATTTTAAGTCATTGAGTAGCACAAACTAGTTAATTGACACTTTTGGTGCACCAATCTGAAAACTCAGAATTAATATCAAAGCTGGAAGTTTCAACAAATTTATACACATAAATCTGACAACTCACATAAAGTAGGCTAAAACCTCAAAATATATCACTGAATTAATTTTAATTATCTTATAATTATTAAGAAAGTCCAACTTATAACTTAAAACTTTACAAAATAATCTTTAGTCACATTGTTTAACTGGAATATTCAAACCAAATGTCTAAAGGAGAATTATCACCAATTAAGAATAGTCTCTTTCAGAAAATAAAATAGGAAAAAATACTATTTCATTTATTCTTTGAAGATAGCCTTACCCTGATAATAAATCATGCCAAAGAATTTACAAAAGCAAAATTAAACTACAGACCAATATTCCTAGAAAATGTAGGTGAAGATAAATGCAAAAATATTTGACACAATATTAGCAAATCGCTAGTAATATAATAAAAATGCTACATGATCTAGTGAAATTTACTCTAGGGATGCAATTCTAGCTAAATATTTGAAAATTGACCAAATAATCCAAAATCATGCATATATTTAATCAAGTGTACAAAAATATGGCAATAAAATTATATTAATTGGTGAAGGACTGAATGTTTTCCCATTAAGATAAAAAAGAAGTATCTTCTTGTCAGTCTATCATAAAATATTAAGTATTTGAATGGTAAAAGTTAGAAAATAGTGAAAGAAATAAAAGGTCTAGCTAATATAGAAAACAGTGTATTTATAAAGTTTACCACATTGTATAAATTGTTCCAAAATTAATATTCAGATTCCATATAATACTTATACCAGCTATAAATTTTGGTATCTATAGAGAATATTATAGAATATATATAGTAAAGCAGAGAAAGCACAATAGCCAAATCAATTTTTATCACAATTTTTATTCATTTTTGAGAATTTCATAGAATGTGTTTTGATCATATTCACCACCCCTAACAACTCCTTTTCCATCCAGCACCATCCCACCTCTTACCCCTGACCCTGCTGTTTCCCTTCACACCCAATTTTATGACCTTTTTTTTAAAAAAATCAATTATAGTTGGTGATGTCCATCTTTGATATGTGGCTTTCCAGTAGAGCTTGGTCAACCTACCAGGGGCCATACCCTTAGAGAAAAGTGACTCTCTGTCTCTCCCAGTAGCTACCAATTTACAATAGCTCCTTAAATAGTGGTAGGACTAGTGTTCATCTCTAGCTGAAAGTTTTCTCTGGTCCCGCCTGGCTCCCACAGCCCCACAGTCCTGCAACCGTTAAGACCCAAATAAACACACAGAGGCTTATATTATTATTATTATTTTTTTTTTTTGGTTTTTTTTCGAGACAGGGTTTCTCTGTGTAGCTTTGCGCCTTTCCTGGTACTCGCTTTGGAGACCAGGCTGGCCTCGAACTCACAGAGATCCACCTGGCTCTGCCTCCCGAGTGCTGGGATTAAAGGCGTGCGCCACCACCGCCCGGCTTGGCTTATATTATTTTTAAAGTATGGTCATGGCAGGCTTCTTGCTAGCTAGCTCTTATATCTTAAATTAGCCCATTTCTATATATCTATACTTTGCCACATGGCTCGTGGCTTACCAGTACTTTACATCTTGTTTCTCCTGGCGGTGACTGGCAGCATCTCTGTGCTCTGGCTTTCTCCTTCCTCTCTCTCTAGTTAGAATGTCCCACCTAACCTTATTCTACCTCATCATTGGCCAAACAGCTTTATTTATCAACCAATCAGAGCAACACATATTCACAGCATACAGAACAACATCACTCATCATTCATCATACTTCTCAGTGCTAGGATTTTTCTGGCTTAAGCTTGTACAAGTCTTCTAAGTGCTGTCAGCAATTTTGAGTTAAAAAAAAGAAATTAGGAGAAATCAGCCTTCCTTTCTTCAAGACAAATGACCGAGCTATACAAAACAAAATTCCATGCCATTAATGTAGAGCTGTACACATAAATAGTAAAAAAAAAAAAAAAAAAAAAGGAAATTCAGGGACAGTGAGGTGGCTCATCAGGTAATGGTGCCTGTTGCCACATCTGATGACATGAGTTAAATCACTGGGACCCATGTGGTAGAAGATAATCAGCTCCCTAACTCTTTCAATCATGTATAGTAGCATGCATGCATGTGCCAGCACAGATGCACACACACACACACACACACACACACACACACACACACACACACACACACATATATATATATATGCACAATAAATAAATAAAATGTAATAATATAGAAAAGAAATACAGAAACTGATCTATATAAATACATCCAAAAGAAATTCAATAAAAATGCAGTCTTTCAACAAATGGTTCTGGAGTAATTGAAAATATTTAGTAAAATTATAGGCCAAAAAATAAAGACCTTGATCTAAACCTCACCCCTTTGAAATAATTCAAAATGCACCAAAGTTCTAAATGTGAAACATAAAACTTTTAGAAAGTGGTTCTTCAGAGAAAATAATTGGTTTGTAGAACTAGGAAAACATTTCTTAAGTTGACATGTGAAGGACAATCCACACATTTGATAAACTTGATCTGTTACCATTATAGACTGTTGTTTGATGAGGAAGATAGATTAAGGCATATCTGGATGAAAATAATCACAATCCACAGATGTGACATTGAACAATGATATAGAATATATAAAGCGTTATTAAAATTAGATGAGTATAAACTGTCCCATGAGAAATTTAGTACTATGCAAAAGATGGTGCTTTATTCAGGATTAACAAAGCCTGAAAGAATCCAGACCTTTTGGTGCTCATAACATTTCAGATAAATATTAAGATAATTGTGCTAAATGTTCAAAGTTTAAATAGCTAACAATACATTTATGTAATATTCTCAACCAGATCAAATTACAAAAATGGAAAATACATTAGTCTGGAGTATGGAGAGAACAGGACAGAAATCAGATGGACTGTATTTGACTATGGGAGAACAATTAGAGCAGAACCTTGTGTTGACAACTCTCTTCTGTATCTTGATTATGTTGGTCCAGTGGTCTTCAACCTTCCTAATGCTGTGACCCTTTAATATAGGCCCTCATGTTGTGGTGACCCACATCCATAAAATACTTTTGTTACTACTTCACAAATGTAGCTTTTCTACTGTTTTGAATCATAAAGTAAATAATGATATTTAGGATATCTGCTATGTGACTTCTGTCAGGTTCATGACCCACAGGTTGAGAATTGTTGACATGGACACACTGATTTTGATCTTATACTATAGTTGCACAAGATGGAGAGAAATTGTTAGACTCTTCAAATTGTAAAGTGAAAAAAATAACAGGATTTGATGATTTGGAATGAAAGGAAGATTGTCAAGAATGACTTAATTGAGGTTTCTCATTTGTACAGAAAATGCAAGAAGAGAACAAAGCAGTTACTAGAATTAAGGAAGGAACCAGAGATATTTTTAATAGGAAATATTCTAGTGTTTTTTTAAATCATCTAGGAAGATATATTCAAAATCAAGATGGTACAGGAATAATGATGAAAAAGAAAAGCAGGAAGAGAGAAGAGAAGAAGAGGAGGAGGAGGAGCAGGAGTGGAAGAAAGGGAGGCAGAACAGGAACAGAAGGGGAAAGGAAGAATGATGGGAGGAGAGAGTGTAGAAGGAGGGGAAGGGGAGAAGAAAGCAATAGAGTAAATGAGTGATAAAATTCCCTAAAACTTGGAAGATGGATTCCTCATTTATTTAAATGAATAATCCACATGGGGACCAGTCAACATAGAGCAAATGAATGACTAGTTGAAATTTCTATATTTTTTACTTTGTAATTGTTA